TTGTTTAATGTCCATATTTCAAAACACCAGAGTTTAATAGTCTGCTTTTGGGTAATCTGTTCTTAGAGGAAGGAATAGATACATCCATCTTTAAACCCCCTTGGCCTGAAAATGGTTAGCTGGGGATAAGCTTTCCAGCTCCTCTTCACAGAGTATAAATGTAATAGGTGAAGAAAGTAAAATTAGAGAGGAACTGCAAGTCTATAAATAAAATGGCAATGGTAAGCCAGTGAGCCAGGTAAGCTGAGTGCACCTCAGAGGAGGAGATTAGGTGTTCAGCCAGGAGAAGGGAATGAAATCCTCTCACCCCAGTCAATTAACAGGTCCCATTTGCTCTGCTGGGGTTTGTTTTCTAGGTGCGAAGATGCACTGCGCAAGAACAAGAGCCTGATAGGCCCAGACCAAAAGGAGTATCAGCGGGAGCTTGAGAGGAACTACCACCGTCTTAAAGAAGCTCTCCAGCCCTTGATTAACAGGAAGATCCCACAGCTGTACAAGGCTGTGCTGCCTGTTGCTTGCCATAGGTGGGTGTGAATTTTGTGCTGTAGCTCCATAGCACCAGTAGGATGCAAACCCAGCAGGGTCAGTTTGGTGTAAAGAGGAAGTAGAAATGGGAATGGAGGTTTTTCCAGGGAAGGTTTTAAATCCCTTTCATTACTACAGATCTTTCAAGATGGGTTTATTTCCTGCCTCTTTCATCCCTCCCCAATCAGTCTTGGATTTCAGGTTGTACTGGTTGGCCAGTTTTCCTACATGAGTTTTTCAGACAGTGCCTGTTCCCCCAGTCCTGTAAGGTGGCCTCTGTCGCCCCTATCATAGTAACCTCATAATCATTCCTCCACCTGATAGAGCCAGTTCCCTACCTAAAACTGGGCCATGAGGGAGCCTTGGGTTGTTGCTAAAGATCTCTATGGTGAGGACTAGCAAATGCAAGGCAGGGATTTTGGATTAAGAGGATGGAGGATGTTTTCCATGTCGGGAAACATGCTTTTGGAAGGAACCTTGAGTATTTCCATTCTACAGTGGGACCAAGCACAAATCCCTCTTTATTACTAATGGTTTTGTCAGGCAGATCAGGGCCTCCTTACACTAAGCATGTGATATATGAGTGAAAGCTGATTTTAATAAGGTCCTGTAGTGTGTTTATGGTCAAAAATGTACTCTGCAAAATATTGCATCTATGAGGAAGATACTGCTCCAGCGGTGTCAATTGCTTGTTTATTGAAGGAGAGTTTGGAAATTCCTGAATATAACCTGATAGTCATTCCCGTGTCCTCTGTGGCTTGTTGAATAGATGGAAGGGTAACAACGACATTATAATTCTGGCAGTGATTTAGTAGCCAGTTTGGGTAGAACAGCATCCCCACAAATTGTGCTATGGACTTAACTTAGCTTTCACATCCTCTAATCTCGAACCAGTGTGCATTTTTAAAGAGTAGGAAAAGGAGCAGGTAGGAGGACTGATTCTCTCATCACACATTCAGCTCCACAGTGCAACTGTTATTTATACAAATATAGATTTTAACGCTTCCCCTGCACAACTCATTCAGAATGAGGAGCCTGTATCTCTCGTGTCCTTGTGTGCGTGTGCTCTGTGCAGCAACAGGGCAATACAGCGGGTTGTAAACTGCTCCTAGCAGAGTGCTTTACTAAACTTCCATCACAAATAACTGCTGGACTTAAGTGCATTTCTTCCTACTCAGTGCATGCTACAAAAAGATGGCTGTTTCTTCCGGTTACTTCCTTGTTTAACATTGTGACTTTTTTAAGTCTCTTGGGGTTGATTGTGAAATATTCTCCAAGTATTCTTTTAGGCTAGATGGTTACTGGCCAGGTCAGTCACCTAGGTTTGTTTGTGGATGCAGTTTCTCTGTGCAGAGTGCTTGCTCCAAGTAGAGCCCTTTGAGGACTTACGTTAAATAGGATGTAGGTGGTTGTCCCCTCCGCGCACACGGGCTGAAACGTTCAGGTCAGTAACATTCTCAGAAAAATGCAAAGCAACTTCATTTGGCACACAACTGCTTTTAAAGGGTAGCAAAGGCTTTTTCATTCTCCATGGAAAATGTGTGTTTATTTGACTGGTTTTTCTTTCTCCCTCAGAGACTCCTTCAGCAGAATGAGCCTTCGCAAAATGGATATCTAGACGAGTTTAAAAAAAAAAAAAAAAAAAAAAGCACTTAAAATTAAGGTAATGAAAAGAGTCGCATTATCAGCGCTGGGAATCAAAGGAGTTTTACTGAGAAATAAAACTTGGACTTCATCATGGACACCCTCCCCTCCCATTTTACTTACTTACATTGAAGTGTTAAGTGGCCAAAAATCATTTTGAATTGTCAAATGTAGATTTAATGTTTTAAAAAATCATGGCAATGGTATACTAAGTACTGGTGATAAGCTGTAAACTTACCTGTTTTTTTAAGGCATTTTTGACTCAAAGGTACACTAAACACATTTATCATTATTTATAGCATTACTTAATGTTAAATTTATTTACTTTTAGTTCATATTTAATTTATATTAGGAGCATTTGCAGATGCATTTTTGAAGTTTTTAATGTAGTGATGTTTATTTCAATGGTACTATTAAATACGTGAATGTTTACACTTTAATTCATTGCGCATTGGACTTCAGAGCTCATCAACCTCATTGGAAAAGATATAGAACAAGGTAAGTCCTAATGTAATACTTTGTAAATACGTGCAGTGACTACTAGCATCTCTAAATTGTTCTGTAATATGGACTAGGAACTTGTTGCAAGGAAAAATAATTTCTTCTTACTGGCCACATCTATACAAGACACTGACTGTACAGTAGCTCATTACTACTGTGCAGTACGGTCACATGGCACAAAGTGTGATGCAAGACTGCTGCGCAGTAGTAGAGCTACTGTGCAGTCAGTCACCTAAAAGCCATTCAGTGACTCCACTGTGCAGTAATTCCAGTTACTGTGCAATCATTTAGTACTTGTGTATGCAAGTACTAAATGGCTGCACAGTAACAACTGTGCAGTGTCTTGTGTAGACGCAGCTCTCAGATAAAATAAAGGTGCAACTTTTGTGTCCAGAAGTATTAGTAACCCTAATGTATTTACACAGTAATCTCTACCAAACCAGGAATTCAGTTACAATACAGTAGTTCCTTCACATATTTAATGCACAGTTCGGTCTTGCAATATATTTGAGACCAAACCACTTTGTGTCAACGTTTTTATAAAAAAAATTTTATTAAAAATGGTGAAAGATAATAAATACAGATATGTAATTGCTGTTGTTGCTCCACAGAAAGATTCTACCACATACAAAAGAATTATGTTTAAAGATAGTTACTGAAATTACTGAAACAAGCATTTTAAAGGAGGAAACATCAGCCTTATGGTCATCTCTGCTATCATCCCTTTGTGTTTCCAGTCTGGAAAATGAAAAACCCTGTAGAAAAAAGGGCATGTGATAATACAAAAACTGTCCAAGTAAGGTTGTACTTGCAATTGTTTCTGCTAACTTTTGAGTGCTTGTCTTTGCAGCCCAAATGTTTTAATACTTTGCTTGTGCAAATTTGGTATTTTTTTTTTAAGATTAAAAACCACCTCATCAAACATTCTCAGGTGGGTTTGAGTCCCTCAGCTACCATGTGGATTACAGGGCGATTGCATTCACTGGTAGCAGAATGCTTTTAACAGTGAGCAGAGTATGGTGCCTTGTCACGTGTCCAAAGGATGCCAGAATCCATGGGAGAATAAGACGGCCCAAATTGTGTCCCTGTGGGAGGGGGAATAGTCCACGCCGGGTCCCAAGTACATGGTTCAGGAGAAGGAAATCCATCCTGGCTCTTTGGGTGTTTATAGGCGTGCTCCAGGAGGCAAAGGGGCAGGGATGGTATGCTTTAATTGGCATGGCTCTGAGAGCTGTGCTAATTAAAGCACCTGGAGCATCACATGTATCAGTATCCCCCTGCTGAAAAATGGTGGCAGGGGCTCCAGCACTTACTACGCTCTGGCAGACTCAATTAATTGAGTCTACTCCAATGTGCTGTGATTACAGCACGCTGGAGCAACCTACCTGTACATGTATAGGAGCCGTTAGTCTCCATCCCCCTTATTACTAAACTGCACTGACAACTTTCAGGTGTTCCCTATACCAGCAACAGGCTAGTGTTGCTTTAGGAAAAAAGATACAAATGGAAAGGCATTCCTCACACCCATGGCTTTTTTCCTGCCCAATATTAAGTCTGGTGCAAACTATGGAGGTGTTAGTACTACTTGAAGATTACAAGACTGTTAATCCATTAGAAAAGATTGTTAGCCAGCCTAAATATAGGTACCATTTTAGCTTCTCCCCATATTAAAAAGGGTATATGATATGTTTAAGAATCACAAAGAAAAGGAGATAAATAGTCTCAGTTTACATAAACTACTGCTTCTCAAAGAAAGCAGCATTAGAACTGTTTTGCTGCTTGAGGGTGCATGTACACATATATTAATGTGCTTTAGTAAATGTGCATTAAATTTAGTACCTCCATTGTGAGGTACTAGGAAAATGTGCATTAACCTGTCTTAATGCACATTACCTGAAGAGCATGGTTTTTAAGTGATGCTTAATGCACATTAGGCTAATGTTAATGTGCACTAACTGAAGAGCAGGTTTTTTTTCAGTGATGATTTTGTGTGTATAAAAATAGCCTGTGCAGACAGGCCTGTGCTTAGAAGAGAAGAACTTTGCAACATTAGCTAACAACTCAAAGCAGGAAGGTGATGCAGCACCTATTCAAGTCCTTCAATTCCAAAAGCCATTAATTTCAGTCTCAACCCAACACCTGATCTATTCATCTCAGACAAATGTATGCATATCATTTTTTATTTCATATGTACATTCTTGACAAGGTATCAAGCCACATTTTAGTTCTCTCATACTTAGAACTCATTGAAGTATGAGTTAACCAGTTAAAGGAAGAGGATCACAACAAAATTCAAATCTACCCAAACAGATATGCAAATGCAGAGGGCCTTTAAAAAGTACAAAATATTTTATTACACTGCACACAGATGAGCAATTTAAATGGCTTCCCTCATTACAGTATTAAATTGCACATATTTACACAATCTACTTTAAACCTATGCAGTAAAATACAAGTTAGTCCAAACATATCTATTGTTAAGTTCAGCTTTAAAATAACATATCACTCCTTCCAACACACTAAATGAGGTGGCAGGACCTCTATTTTTGTGCTTTGAATTTCTCTGAGCAAGAGAAGGGTGTCATCAGGAAGCCATAGCTATGCTGTATGTGCCATATACATATACCCCAAAGACTATATACGAAATATTGCTTCTCAAGTTATAAAAATACTGATTTTGATGAGTTTCTCTAGTTAATATAAATTTACTCCAGAATGTGAATACAAATAACTTTTATTTAGGAGGGGAAAAAGGCTAATACAAGAAATGTCTGGGAACCAGAGTTGTTCTAAAACCAGTACCATGTATTTTGGACTTTAAGAACTATACAAACCTGTATGCCTAAAAGGCAGTAGCACTAGCCACCAGCATGTAAGGGAGAGTTGAAGTTCTGTGACATGTTTTGTTAACTCAAATTGTCCCACTCAAAACAGAACTAAGAGACCAAAAATAAATGTCATCCAGTAGCTAAAACAAAACAAAAGGAATAAAAAAAACCCTAGCTGTTACTTGAAGGTAGTCTTGATGCAAATCATATCAATAGGAGTATGCAAATCTCTAATATTTACATAGGCAAAATACATTATTACTCTACAATTTTCTTATAAAACAGTAAGTAAGGAGTTGATGTGGATGATGAAGTAGGAGAGAGAGTATTCAGAAAGTCTTTTTCCTCTGTAACCTTGACTTCAGAATCATCAAAAAGCAGCCACTTTCCCTCATATTCTTTTAGGCTTTGTAATGCATACAAAGTTTTGCTTTCCAGTCCACTGAAAGCAGTTCCATTTTGATCACCACGTTCATTATTTCTATCTAGATCCAAGATCCCATTGGTACTGGCAGACCCAGGATTTCTGTTTTCAGCAACTGTACTGACGAGCTTCTCTGGGTTAGTGGGTTTGTTGCTATACAGGTCACAATCAGTCTTACTTTTTTGTCCCCCAAGAAGTCCAACTGCTTCTATGTTCTTTTTGTTTAAAACTTTACTTGGCTGGGCATTTCCATTGACTCTAAAGGAGACTTCACCATCGTCATAATCTTCAGCAACAGCTCTTGCTTCTTCCTCATTCAGTGGTTCTGGCTTAATCATTTCGTGCATTTGGTTGATGAAGAAATTGCCTTTGTCTAATTCCAGACTATTAAGATCTGTAATTTTAACAGAAGCTGTATAGTGTCCGCTGCTGATTGTAATGCCACTGTGCATTACTACTGCAAATAATCCATAGGTATCGTTGGTTGGTTTTGTGCTCCATTCTTCTAGTGACAATTTAAGAGGTGTCAGTAAAGGAGTATTTATCTTGGACAGTCCACCATAACAATCAAACCTTGGAAAGAAGAACGGCAGAATTAGACTATTGCATCAAAACATACAATTTTCCTTAAGGGAGTTAAAAAAAAAGGGGTTGTATCTTCTTTTGGTTAACCCAGTATACAGAAGAGGCACAGGCTTTTTAAAAACCTATTTAGCTTGTTTTTCAACATTGACATATCAAGAATATCACCTTTGGCCTTCCCAAGTTTTACTAAAGAAATGATTGGGAGACTTAAAGTATTTGTATTAATTCTCACAGCTAAGTTGAAGGGCTAAAGTTGAACATTCAAAGACTTACTTCTTCAAATGCTACTGCTGGCTAACCAGATGTTAAAAATTAAGTTTTAAACAGTGATTATAAATCGCAACTTCTCTCAGTTGCTCAGCTTTCACCCTTCTTTTGGGTCTAGTATCTTTCCATGTTTCACTTAGCACCAGAGTGAAAAAAAAGAGCTCAATATCTAATGTATAGAACAAGCAGGGTTTTCTTAGCCTCTTTGCACATCATGGTAGAGACCATAAACCCAAGTTTATGCAAGTTATCTTTAAATTAATACTCCTTCGGAAGCAATTTGAGTAATTACTCTGTCTTAAGATGGCTCAACTATGCGGAGACGGTAGTTATTTGACCCATAGTGAAAAGACAATAGTCAAAAAACTATTCTATAGATTTCACAGTTGTTTAGAATGTATTTAAGTTATTAAGATACACAAAGCTTTTCGGTTGGAAGCAACATCTTTTATTAAACCAACTAAATAGTAGCAAAAAAACCCCTTTCTTTGCAACCTTTTGGACATATGCACCCATCTTCAGGCTGAGGAGAATTCAAAGACTGTAAAAATCCTCCTAGGTAGAAAAGAAACTTCCACCCTCTACCTCCCCTTTGCAAAATGGAGTTTCTTTTCTACGTAGGAGGACTTTTACAATCTCTGAATTCTCTGAAAAATCCTGATATACTGTGCAAACCTCTTACCAGTAGTAGAAATCTAATGGCAGAAAATCTGTATATGAGTTATTTCTACTACTTCTATACCAGTGGTTCTCAACCTTTTCAGACTCTGGGCACCCTTTGGAAAATGCCAGTCCTTAGTTTTCACTTTGTTTCTTAATGGAAGAAAAATAATAGAACAGTTCTTCTGTTGCACAGAACCAAGGAAGTCCATAACAAGTCAAAATTCACTCTGGATTCCTATTTGAAATCTCTAGGTTTATCTTGTGAATTATGTGCAAGTGCTTGCCCATATGTGCTGCTTGCAGATGTTAGCACAGGAAAAGAAACCCCCCAAACACTCACTTTACCAGAAGAAGCAGCATGTTATCTCAACCTGGCTCCACAGTGCCTGTATAGAGAGCTTTTTGGCACTTATCTAAAGCTGATTCAATCAGCTATTAGATAAAAGTGCCAAAAAAGCCTCACTGAAACACCCGATCTATACTGATATTGGGTGAGCTGGGTCCAACTAACACACTAACTCTTCTGGACATGCACAGGGCTTGGTGCAGGAGCATGCTGGTTTAAAGTATTTTTTTTCAGTTTTTTGTTTTTAACGTCTGCAAGCAGCCGTAAAGGTTAGCACAGCAGTCTTAAAAGAACATCCTAGTACCCTAGTTGAGAATCGCTGCTCTACTGGATTTCTTTATTCAGCTAGACCAACTGAGATTATGAGCACATAGAAAGTTACTCGTTAACGACTTAATTTTACAGCACTGGGCAATTAAAGTTATTTAACTATAACTCTAATATTAGAGGAAGACCCAGTCAGCACAGACAACCATGAACCCAAATACGGTTTTTTCCTGAAGAGGTCTAATTGTTTGAGATCTTCAATAAAATCCTGAAAAAAAATCACCACTTTCCCTGAAAATGCGTGTCAAGAGCTAGAGCTGTATTCCCTCTTCTTCCAAGTTATGCCACAAATTGGTAATTTTTTCATTATATAGTATTTATTTTATTAAGCTTTTCTCCAGCTGTACTAAGTTTTCCAGGTAATTTACCATGCCGGGCATATCAGGCTACTCACCCATACTCAGGCAGGCAGTAACAAAACTAGTATGAGAATTCTTAATGCCTGAGAAAACAGATTTCTGCAGTGACTGCTTTACTCAAAACTCACAAGTTAGGAGCAACTAGGCAAATGGCGTACCACAGTTAGTACCTTCCTGTTTCCCCCGTCCTCCCATTTTAAATAAAGGGTTATTTAAAATTCAGATATTGAATAACTCACTGTCACTCCAACAGTTTAAGATATTAACAAGGACAATGCCAGCCTAAGGCGGTCAGCATTTTTTAAATCAAATGGTTATGGATCTGTATAGCAATACTAAAATTCAAACGTAACAAACATTCAGACGCAGCAGGGCTCATGCAGGGTAACATGGAATGTGACCAAGGCTGCTCTGGCTCTGCCTTTGACAGCTCGTTTGATCTGCAGCTGTTCTTTGTTACTTCAGGCCTTGCTGTTTGGGAATAGACAGACTACCCTAAGTTCTGGAATTGTGGAATAAACTTTTCAGACCGTTTCGGCTGCATCACTGATTCCAGTACTGTGATCTCTCTGCTCTTACTACTTTGCTTTGTGGCTGACAATACTTTGCAGAAAAAGTTCAAGACTCAAAGAGCAATTGAAGAAGCTTCCAGGAGCCCACATTCAATGCAAAATAGTACCCCTGGCTTGAATGCAGGTGTGAACATTTTGGACTGAGAATATGAAGATCACCAGGAGAAAAGGAAGAGAGGTATGTGACTGGGAAACAGCTGTATAGCTTGGAATTTGTAAAAATTTCCTCCAAGGAAGACAAAAAAATTGAACTTAATCTAATGAAAACCTGAGGTTCAAATATATGTATGATCTCTGGGATGAGGGCATCCCTGATGGTTTTATACTTGTATGGCTTACAGAAGTATCAGAAGTGCATGGGCCTCTATTTCAGTGAGTATAGCTCAGGGAGATTTTTTTTTTCTTAATAAAAGCAAGTGCTGAACAGCAGTGGCTTAGTTTTCCTCTAAAGTCGTGACAGACCCTGTACAAAGCAGCAAAAGGACACATCTTGTATTTGAATGTTCTTCAGTTCTGCTGAAAAGGAGGCATTAATTACGCTAAGAGAAATGTATGTACATTAGAATTTTTCTCCAATATCACCACAGTTGGTTTTACTTTGGTGATCAGATTTTCATTTCTAGTTTCAAAAAATAAAAAGCCTAAAGAAACTCTTAGAACAAAAATTTGGAGAGCAATTCTGAGAAATCCATTCTTTAGGAGCTTCTGCAAAATATTATAGCATGACTTTTGAAATCATTGTTACTTTCAAACCAGATTTATAGTGTTGTATGCGTTTGTGCTGCTGGCACCCAAATCATAATTTGATCAAAAGGTCCACAAGTATTTTACAGGCATTTAAGTTTCAAAAATTCATCTGTACGGCAGGCATTATCTCCATTTCATAGAAAAGTTAAATAAGGCCATACAGAAAGCCTTTACAAGATCCAAATAGAAGGCATCTTCCAATTCCTAGGCTTACTTTCCAGCCACCAGAAGACCCTAAACGCTTAAGTGGAATTATAACTCAATCACTTTGTTTGAGATCCTGAATTATGTGAACTATTGAATGCCATCAAGTCAACAACAGTTCTGGAAATTTAAGCAAAGTGATAGTTTCATAGTAGATAGTGTCAGAAGGGACCTGAGCAGATCATCAAGTCCAACCCCCTGCCACGGGCAGGAAAGAATGTTGGGGTCAAACGACCCTGGCTAGGTGATTATCTAGCCTCTTTTTGAAGACCCCCAGGGAAGGAGCAAGCACCACTTCCCTTGGAAGTTGGTGCCAGATCCTAGCCGCCCTGACTGTGAAGTAGCACTTCTGATGTCTAGCCTGAATCTACTGTCAGCTTATGGCCATTATTCCTCGTTACTCCCAGTAGTGCTTGGAGGAGCAGGGACTCTCCCATAGCCTGCTGGTCCTCCTTGGCCAGTTTGTAGATGGCCACCAGATCCCCCCCTCAGCCTCCTCTTGTGGAGGCTGAACAGGTTCAGGTCCCGTAGCCTCCCCTCGTAGGGCCTGCCCTGCTGCCCCCTGATCATGTGAGTGGCCCTCCTCTGGACCCTCTCCACGTTGTCCACATCCCTCCTGAAGTGCGGCACCCAGAACTGGACGCAGTACTCCCAACTGTGGCCTGACCAGTGTCACAGAGGGGGAGGATCACCTCCTTGGACCTGCTCAAGATGCATCTGTGGATGCATGACAAGGTACAATTAGCCTTCCTGACTGCGTCCCCACATTGGCGGCCCATGTTCATCTTGGAGTCTATGACGACTCCAAGATCCTTTTCTGCCTCTGCTGAGAAGGGAGTTCCCCAGCCTGTAGGTATGGGTGCTGGTTCTTCCTCCCCAGGTACAACACCTTGCACTTGTCAGTGTTGAATCCCATCCTATTCTCACCCGCCCACCCCGTAACCTGTCTAGATCTAGTTGCAGCCTGTCCCTCTCCTCTAGCGTGCCTACTTCTCTACACATGGGATACTGAACCAGCAAGAGTTTCTTTTCCATTGCCACATCCCAAAGGAGTGGATGCAGATGGCAAAAGCAGTAACTACTTTTCATTTATAAAATTAACAAGGCTGGAAAGCCAAGCAGTCTACATATGCTTCAACTTATGAAAACTGCAAAATTGGTCTAAATGTCAGCTAATGCTGCATCAATGAAAATTTCTAAATTATGGATTGGATAGTTTTGAACAACAACGTTCCAAATGGATCTGCAGTATCATGGCAAGTTTATCCAGATGGGTCCTTCTGTCATTTTGAGGTTATTTCTTTACTGAGATTTGAGTAGTATTTACTGTGACATGCTATGCCCAATTCCTGTCCGTCTTTTCCACTGTTCATATTCTTTCGCTTAGAATATATTTATTCAGAATTCCTAACTTTGGAAGAAAGATGGTGAAGTGAGCCACAGTAATATTTACAGTAAAATAAAAAGGTTTGTATAGCATGGGAGCAGATCACTAATGCTTAG